AATATGTTCATTTACCATGAGACTGTGGAGCTAATTGTTCTATGATACTCATTTCAACCATGTCTAGGCGAGCATTGACATCGTCATTTGTCTTACCTTTAATATTATGAAGTGTTCCAATAATATTATCACACAAATTTTTCTCTACATGTATGACATTTATATAGTGTCTCGGATCAAACACTCTCCAATATGGGAAAATAAAGATCGATCTTTTCTTCCATATATTTCTTGTTATGGCTTGCTTTTGTGTCTTTCGAAACACAACTTGTATATCTTTCACACGTTCATATACTTGTGATCCACTTAAGGTCGTTGGAGCTACTTCGTTTTCTTGACATCCATTAAATGTTTTTTTTTTCAATCTATGAAAATAATGATTGGAGTTGAGAAATATCCTATGCATAAGATACATTGTGTTTCCTTCCATGTTGTAATTGATGGTGACATGTGCCTCGTCACATATAGGGCATGCTTTGTGACTCTTAATGTTATACCCACTCAAGTTATCATATACTGAAAAATCATTTATTGTACAAAATAACATTACACGCAACTTAGACAAGTCACTTGCATATCTATCAAATACATCAACACCTTCTTCCGACAACATCTTGAAATCTTTAACCAATGGGCTTAAATAAGCATCAATGCATTTCTTGGTTGCCTTGGACTTGAAATCATCATATTACTAACAACACAGGCCATGAATTTTATTTACTACTTAAGTTTCTATATGGGTTCATTCCATCTGTAGCAAGTCCAAGCCTAATGTTTCTTGGATCATTACTGAAATTGGAGAATATGGAATCAAATTTTTTTCATTGCAAAGAATTTTCCAAATGCCTTAGATGGCCATTTTTTATATGCTCATTTGCATGCCATCTTATTAGTTTTGCATTATTTGCATTGGTAAACAATCTTTTTAACCTTGGAATTATAGGAAGATATCACAATATCTTTGTAGGTGGACCATTCTTAACATTAAATTCAGAATCACCATTTATATGCTTGTATCGTGATATCCCACATTGTGCACATTGGTGTAATTTGTCAAACTCTTTTTATGTTATACAATCATCTCGACATGCGTGTATTTTTTTATCCTCCATACCCATTGGACACAATATCTTTTTTGCATTATAATTATGTGTTTGTAGTGTACTACCTTTAGGAAACATCTCATTGAACATTTCAAGTAATTTTGTGAAACTTTTATCAGTCCGCCTATTTCTTGGTTTCACGTTGAACAATTTCAATATTGCTAACAATTATGTGAAATTGGTGCATTCTGGATATAAAGGTTTATTCGCATCATTGCACAAATTAACTTAGACATATACATGTTGGAAAGTATCATTCCAATATTACAAATCATTTCTTTAAGTCGATCATTCATATGTACATCAACTTTATTTTAGACACATGTACATTTGACATGTCTATTAATTCACCATGCCATGTCCACTTTGTGCAACTCTTTAGGAATCCATCACATAGAACATATTCGCGTATAAGTTTTATCCTCATTCAAACAATTAACACAAGGGCATTAGAATCTTCCATTATTATATGAAATATTTTGTTTTGCAAATTCAAGAAATTGTTCTACTCCATTATCATATTCATCAGTTATATGTCTAAAATTGATCCATGAATAAGTTTTGCGATATCAATTAATAAATTATTATTTATATATTAAGTTACTTAAAACTAAAAAAAGTTATTTATATAAATGATTTTGATTAATTTAAAATGATTTTATATATGAAATCATATTAAAATTAAATTATTTATTTTAACAAATTTTCTTAATAAATGCTCCGAGACACTATTTTATAAAATATAAAAAAATAATAATAATTTTTTAGATGATTATTAAACTTTAAGATTATTACAATAATTAAAAACAAATATAAAATAAACTATTAAAACTTTTTATTAGATGGTATGTGTGAAAAAGTCAGAGACATATCTTGCGATTTTTATTATAAGCATTGTTATAATAACAATATTTAACATAGTTACCCAATTAATCAAATGAAAAAAAAAAACTTGCTCCTACTATTTACACCTCCTTGTTTGCTGGTCTACATAGTCTTCTGTTTTGAAAAGGGTGTACATTTACACAAAGTGGAGTGTAAATATCAGTAGCCCATAAATAAGGTAAAGATAAATATACGTGGGCTTAGTGAGACCCAATTTCAGATTACTTTTACTTATTGGCAAAGCTTTTCAAAATCACTTTCTGAAACAATAATTGAGAAGGGAACCCATTTTGAAAATTTGGATGGGATTCACTTCCAGATTTTATGGCTCTCCTCTGCAACTACTTATTATTATTATTATTCTATAATGTATAATTTGAAGGATTTCTTTAATACATTTTGAATAACAATTTCAAAACATAAGACTTTTGGAAAAAAAGAATCTCATTTCATTGGCTGTAAGAAGAAATTATGGGGTGTGTATAAAACAATTGTCAAGATAAGAGAAAAACAAAATTTGGACCCAAACAAATGATAAGAAAACAAGCCCATACAAGATGAATATCATGATGCTCCGAAACCATAACTTCAAGTGCCATTTTTGTCATTTTTGTTAATCTTTCAATACTTTAAGTGCAAATTTATTTTTGAAATAGATGAGTTAAACACAAATATATTTCATATGTTTTTTATTATGTTCCAATCATCATTCTGTGTCTTTGGTGGGAAACAAAGAAACCTCACTCCATCAACCACACAACATCTATTCTTTCTAATGAAATCTAAAGCTGTCATACAGGTTTCTATTATTAAGAACATTCGTAACGACAACCAACTTTGTATACCATATTGCAACTCTTTACTTCATTTGGTGAGAAAGGCAATTGCCATACTTGGAAGAGCCTCTGTGATCATTTTTCATCCTACTCTTCACGCACTATGTTAGTGTAGTTTTACTAGATAAATTTAAAATATTTTTATTTGAACTCTTGGTGTTATTGTGGTTTTCTGAGTTTAATTGACTAATTAACTCTATGGATGGTGTTGACTAAGTAGCTAACAAATAAACTCTATTTTTCAGTTAGATCCAACTCCTCATTGTTTTCATTCTATTTGGAAGCTTCCGGTTAAAGTTATACAAAAAAAAATGCAAGGATCATCTCCACATTGGCTATATCAAAGGTGATGCCCAATCATATTCCTCTGCTTCACGATGGTCTTCTTTGGCTTTTTACTTCAGGAGAAGGAAAAAAATCTCCAATATGTTAAAACCTGATCCAACTGTTATGACTTCGTTTACCACTAACATGAGTTTTTCTTCGTCTTTGCATTTCATTCCAAATGCAGTTGGTTACCATTTCAATAGCATGTTACACTAAACACTTTTTATGTTACTCTCGTAAGCAACAAGTTTTCTATTGGCTCTTATAATTGGAATATTGAATTTATTTTTCCCATCAACAATATCAAGAATCTAAAGGAAACATAATTAATCAATTAGTTATGAAATATTATTAATTTTATGTGTTATTATATCTTTAAGAGATAAAAACTTTTTTTGATATTGTTTACTAGACATCTCTCTTTTTGTTTGTAGTAAAATAGGAAAATAATATATCTATTATTTTCGCATTTATATTTAAAAATATAAGTGTAATAAAACAGTTTTTTTTGGTTCGTATAAGGTAACAACATAACTACCTTATGGTTGGATAAATAAATATTATAATTTATGAAATTATTTTTTAACAAGTATTATTGAATATTAAAAACTTATTACATTAAATCCTATATGTTTATCACTATAGAATTTAGCGTCAAGAATCCAAAAACAATTCTAAACCGGAAAAAATAGAATATAATGACAAGTTCCAGCAATAGACATTTAATCCCCTTTTTCTTTGACCTATTTCATCTATTTTCAATAATCTAAATGTAAACAAGTAAACTTCAATTAAAGAGAAACAAGTTAAATATAAACTACTAACCTTGAAACAAGCAGAGACGATTCAAGAATTTGGGAGGGTAAAGCAAATTTAAAAATGAGATCTTTTATTTAGTAATAAAATAATTTATGCTAAAATATATCATAGTTTTATTTAAAAATTATTTTTTGTGATGCAAAATTATTTTTTAAATTGTCATAATTAATTTTATTTAACATTTCTTTTTTAATAGATAATAAAATCAATCCATTTAATCTTTGTTGAGACATTAATATCATTGTGCTGAAGACTAACAGTTAGAAGATTGAAATAACGTGATCTCTGTCAGATTGTTTTGTTTATAAAACCCACGTCAAATTGTTTTTGTTCATAAAACTCATCATGTTTTAATAGGTTTGGATATGGTCATACATGCTTTTTTTTTTTAAATTAATAATTATATTTTAAAATAATAATAATTTTATAATAAAATTAATATTATTAATATGATTTAAATTTAAAAATATAGTTTTACGTTTCTATATATATATATATATATATATATAATAATTTTCAAATATTTTGAGTAATTAATGATATTAGATAGGTTGAAAAATGATAAATGTAATCTTATACATCAATATTAAGTAGGATGAAAAATATTTATGTAATTTTTTTTAATCTTGATTTTATTATAGGTTATAAATGTTATTATATTTAAACTTTATGATATAAATTATTTATAAAATTTTAATTTTTAAAACTATCTTACATTAATAATTTTATATAAATAGTTATAGTAGGAATAGAAATAATATTCTAATAGGTATAGTAGTTGTAAATATCTTTCTTTCAATAAAAAATAAAAATAAAAATATTTTTATTCTAATATAATTATATTAAATATATTACTAAGTATTTTAAGAAAAAATATTTTTTATATTATTTATTTCAGTTTTTTGGATAAAATTTATTTACATATTTATAAAAATACTAAATAAACTCAAATGTAAAAAATATATAATTCAACAAGCACAAGCCGAAGCCAGCTAAAAACGCACACCTCCAAAGTTTTATCCCGTTGACGATGTCAGGAAGCCTCTCCTGTGTGTTTGGTCTCTTGTTTTCAGGCTTGGGATGGAATGAGATGCATATTGAATTTACTGTGTGTTTCTGTATTTTAGTGTTTTAATTTGTTAGCTAATGTTTTTAAATTTAGTGTTACCCTGTTCTACTATTTTTTTAAATCTGGAGCTTATGATGTGTATTGGAATTGTTTCAGGACTAGCGTGACCCGGGGACAGGTTGATTCTTCTCGCCGGTAGATTCAAGATCCCATTCTTTTGGTTGAATGACTAATGAACTGTTGTCAAATAAAAAAAGATCCCATTCGTCAGGATTTAATTCATGCGCCATGTTTTATTAATTTGGGCCTTGTATTTGTTTTGCTTTGATATTCAGGGCTAGCGTTACACCAAAAACAGTTCTAATCCTTTCTTGTTTGTGGTCTTGCTTGTTTGCTGCTTTAGGTCCCTTCAAGATCAACCCTTCAAGATCAATGGTGTTCCTCTCTCTGGGGTTAATGTTCATAAATTTGATGACAAGTACTTTTCCAAGGATGCCAAGAAACCTCAACAAAAGTGGACGTTAATGTTGATAAATTTGATGACAAGTTCATTTTCAAGCATGCCAAAAAGAAGAAAACAAAGGGTCTCAATTGGTAGCTCAACAAAAGTGGACGTCTATGGTTTCCAAGGATTTCAAGGAGAGGGTCTCAACAAGAGTGGACTTCTCTGGTTTTAATGCAAAAGTGGACGCCTCTTTGAAGCCAGGAATGAAGTTCTTCTATAGCACTGGAAAAAACTGAATGATACATTATTTGTTGTTATTACTTCGTGTTGAGCATTTAAAAATTCTATAGCACTGGAAAAACTGAATGAGAAAAGAACTATACATCTTTTTGTTATTATGTGGCAGTGGATAAACCCATTGAAAATCTTGGATCTCTCCTTCTTATAATAGTTACCGCTTGTAAACTTTCAATAATTGATGTTTTTATGATTTTTCTATTTACTAATCTTGTCAACACAACTCTGTTTTACCCCTTCATGTTTGGAAATATTTCATTTACTTAATTCAACAATGTTAAGTATTCTGCAAAACTCTAATTTCTCTAATTGAATTCTATTTATAATAGTTACTGTTTTATAATAAATTTATTAATATGTTTTCATCAATATTCTTATCATCTTAAAATTTTTTTATTTAAAATTATTTTTAATAATTTTGTCTCATTTATAATAAATATAATTTAAAAGATAAAAAATATAATTAATAAAAAAATATTAATATAATATTAAATTTTGTAAATAACATATATTTAAAAATAATTTTCTTTTTCTAAAAAGTTATATTTTAAAATCGATGGAATATAATGAAATGGTATAAATTTCATTATAAATTAATATTTAACTTAAAAAAAACATAGAAGCATTTATCACAAATATAATAATGGATAACCTTTATTTAATAATAAATTATGATTCACACTTAACCATTGAATATTTTCAAAATTAAATAATTTTATAAAAATAATAATTATTTTTTTGGAAACTAAAATAAAAATATATAAAAAACACCCAATCTGTTTAATATCAACAATCTGATATAGAGTGTAGGAACTGAAACAAAAATAAATAAATTATCAAAGGATAAAAATTTTTAATTAACAATCACTACTCACCCGTTAATGAAAAGTAAAAAAATAATAAAATTAAATAACTTGTGTTTCTTTTTAAGTGTACGAGTTTTTTTATTAGATGTAAATTATGTTTAATTTATAATTAGATTTTTCATTATAATAAATAACGTCTATGTAAAATGAATTTGTTTTTAAAATTAAATAATTAACCGTCAATATAATCAGATTATAATTAAAAAACAACAACAACATGAATTCGTAATTGACAATTATACCTTGTAATTCATGAACATAATACAGGAAACTCAGACCAATTTCTATAGAACAAGTAAGTTATTCATTTTCAGAGTCATTCAATCAAAATACGCATAATTTATTAAACTTTATAATAACGAATGAATAATATATATACAAACGGTGCATGATTATCAGTATATGCATAACTATACGATAATTATCTTTAAATTATATCAGATTTAATACATAATTATTGTTGAAGAAATATATAAATCAAAATATAATTGAAGAAGAGTATTTTTGTATGAATATATATATATATATATATATATATATATATATATATTAATATTATTCTTATTTATTTTTTCTATAATATTTTTTACTTTTATCACATTGCTTATTTTATTTTATATTCTTCAGATTTTTTAGTCAACAGAGAAGTAACCCAAAAAATTTGTGTTCGGGAAAAATTATGTTCCTATCTTAAGAATATTTTAATCTCCTTTTTTAGTACGAGTTTATTTTAATTATTAATTATTTATGAATTTTTCTTTATCATCTCCTATTATTCATTATTAATAAATATACATTTTAAAATATAATATGTTAATACTAATAAAATTTATATATTTATTATTTTTTTTACAATATTGTATTTATAAAATTAAATTTATTACCATTGTACAACTTTGTTACAATTTCTCTTCTATTAATTTAATATTAACATAAATTTAAAATATGTACAAATAATTAGTACTAACAATAGATTTACATAATTTTAATTCTCTCTATATATAATTGATATTATTAATACAATTTATTGTAAAATTCTATTAATTTTTATATTCAAATATATAATTAATTTTTATATTAATAATGATGTTTAAATTACTCATAATTTATTAACAATAATAGATTAAATTGAATCTAATTTAAAATCATAATTAAATTTATTTTACATATATAATGATCAAAACCATTTTATTAAAAATAAAATAAAATTTATATTGTCAATTAATTATCTATAAGTTAATAATTTAGAAAATATTATTTGTGCATACCAATTTAGAAAATAGAAGTTATGCAAAACGGTCTTCTTTAATAAATAAAGTGCATACCAGTTTATTTGTGTAGCTTTTTTGGAAATGAAATATCAAAGAAATAAATTCATTGTGCCATTTCTTTACTTCTTCATTTCATCATATGAGAGGAAAACCATATTTATGCTTATTAGGTGTCATTAATGTATGAGGTATTTTTTCTCTCCTCTCCTTCGACCTTGACTCTTCGAGTATTTTAATATTTTTAAACTAACACCTTGTTTATCTTCTAATAGTAAAGGCATAGAGTAACTCATTTTGGATCTTAAAAACTCTAGAGTCTACATGGAGGGTTCTTGCCAAAAACATTCGTCATTCATGGCAAAATAGATAGTCTTACAATTTTATAAATCTCCATCATGATAAATTAAAACACTACCGGTGAATGTCATACACAATCTTCCACCTACCCCATCATTGAGAAACTTTGAGACTCTTTAAAAGAAACAAAGAAAACCAAAATAATTTAGGGATATGTTGGACAATATTGGGCTGTGCTCCCAACTATGTGTCCAAAAAGGTTTAAATTAGTGAAGGTCATTTTATCTCACTTAACCTTAGGTGGAGAGGGATGTGTTAGGTTAGAACAATGAGATCATTTTGCAGTCTTTGAAAGAGAAAAAGAAAAGAAAACAATTTCGCTCTTTTATCAAACTATCTCGGTAAAATTACGATTTCTGTTTCGTTCACCGTTGGATCGGGCTAGAATTTTGACAGCAGGTTCATGGTTTAAAGGTCTTTATTTTGACCGTTGGGATCGGTAATTAAAGGCCTGTAGTTGGATATATCAATCTTACATTGTGACTGATTTTAAGTTTTTTTTTTCTTTATTCTTCGTATTTGAGAGCATTGTTGTTTCGATATATTGATTACTTTGTAGACATTTATTTGTGCATTTTTATTCGACATGCACTTTTATTTGCATATTAGTGCTACCAAAAGATATGTTGAGATGATTGCTACGGTGTATTGACCTTACATGGGTTGTCATTATCCATTTAAAACAAATTATGTTGGACTAAGAAAATGAGGGTATGTTTTTCATAGTATCCTTTAATCGAATGTCAACTAACAACAAGCAATTAGTTTAATTCGAGAACTGAGTTATCATTAATATTGGCTAGGTAAGTTTATAGAATTGTCAAACTATGATACAAATATCCACCATTTCAGTTTTCTTACAAAGGTTAAGTTCAGTGATGCTAATCTGAATTAGGGATCGAACATTGATCTTGATAGCAGAAGTTTCATTAAGTTACAATATTAAAAAGAAAAGTACACGAAATGAATAAAATCCATACTCAAATCTTAACTATGCATCATAGCATGTTGTCTGTTCTAACCGGAAGCCTCTTGAAGAAGTTGCTGGGTACAGAAGGAAGTTTGCTACAAAACTTAGAATGCCTTAGATAATACAAACCTGTTACCATAGCCCACACTTTTGGTGGTGTTGCATACAACACCACAACTGAACAAAAACTAAACGTGTTAAAATTTCAACCTTTACATCTAAAATAACCAATATAAAAAAAATAAAAAAACAGTCCAAATAGAGTTCCCATTGGAGAAGCATGTAACATTATAAGATATCACCCACAATTTGGTCTTCCAATTTCCAATTGATGAAAAGTCCGTTACTAGTTCTAGTAAGAGTGATTTGATAAGTTTTTATGAATTTTTGTTAATGAGTGACCAAAGAAAATTTTATTAAACCTTACATTAGGATTATTTAAAATTTTTGAATTTCTGTTATTAAGCCTGTAGAGACAAAAAATTTAAAATATCATATAAAAAAATAAATTAGGATTATTTAAAATACAATATTTTCAAAATAAAGTCTGTTTATTAATACTAAATAAATAATTAAGTCATAAAAAACATAAAATATATTATGCCATATGTATTTTGAGAATGATACGTGTATAGAAACTAACTATGGATGGTGTTGACTAAGTAGCTAACAAATAAACTCTATTTTTCAGTTAGATCCAACTCCTCATTGTTTTCATTCTATTTGGAAGCTTCCGGTTAAAGTTATACAAAAAAAAATGCAAGGATCATCTCCACATTGGCTATATCAAAGGTGATGCCCAATCATATTCCTCTGCTTCACGATGGTCTTCTTTGGCTTTTTACTTCAGGAGAAGGAAAAAAATCTCCAATATGTTAAAACCTGATCCAACTGTTATGACTTCGTTTACCACTAACATGAGTTTTTCTTCGTCTTTGCATTTCATTCCAAATGCAGTTGGTTACCATTTCAATAGCATGTTACACTAAACACTTTTTATGTTATTCTCGTAAGCAACAAGTTTTCTATTGGCTCTTATAATTGGAATATTGAATTTATTTTTCCCATCAACAATACCTAGAATCTAAAGGAAACATATAATTAATCACTTTACCAAGCAAGTTAATGCTCAATCAATTAGTTATTAAATATTATTAATTTTATATGTGTTATTATATCTTTAAGAGATAAAAACTTTTTTTGATATTATTTACTAAACGTCTTTGTAGTAAAATATAGGAAAAGAATATTTTCGCATTTGTATTTAAAAATTGAATCAAATAATTATATAAGTGTAATAAAACAGTTTTTTTTTTTCGTATAAGGGTAACGACATATCTACCTTATGTTGGATAAATAAATATTATGATTTATGGAATTATTTTTTAACAAGTATTATTGATTATTAAAAACTTATTACATGAAATCTTACATGTTTATGACGATAGAATTTAGCGTCAAGAATCTAAAA